CGAAGGCCACGTCTCGGGAGCCCAGGGAGAGACAGGCGCCGGAGGGGGTGGGAGCCGGGCCTGGAGGCCGGGTCTGCACTGGGAGTCCCAGGGCACCTTTGTAAGGCTACATGGCAGGCCAGGGCCACCGCCTGCCCCTCCCCATTGTCCTGGCAGCTGGCCCTGTGGACCCCTCCCAGGACCCCACCTCCCAACCTCCTGCCTCCTCTCAGGGCCCCCCCCCCAGGACTCTCCCAGGCGGGGCTCCTCTCTGGGCCCTGAGGTCAGGCCTACCCAGAAGGGCACAGGTGACCTGCACCCCGATGGCCGAATGAGGTCGCTGGGTCCCGGGAAGCGTGTCTCCACTACAGGACCTGAGGGGCAGTTAGCAGAGACCAGGTTTGTGTGGGAAACCCAGCCTCAGCTTCTGCAGTCTGAGCTGAAAGGTTTTATTCCGGCCCCTGACGCCACCACACCCCGCAGCGGCCTGGCTGACCCGGAGGGCAGGGCCTCAGCTGCTGCTCACCAGGGTCACCCAGAGCCTCGAGCCAGCTGGCACCGCGGCCCGGGGAAACCTGATCTCAGAGTCGGCAGCACTTTGGGGTCCCCGTGATTTTGTGTTGTATCATCTATTCCCCCAGGAAGGCAAGCACGGCTAGTGTGGTGTGCTCCGTTCAGGCTGAGTGCCAGCAGGGAGCAGGGAGCAGGGAGCAGGGAGCAGGGAGCAGGGAACAGGGAGGAGGGAGCAGGGAGGCAGGCTGCCTCTGTCCTGCTCCTGCCACAGTCCTGACCAGCCCTAAAGGGGTGCTGACAGCTGGGGGGCTGTCCGCTGTGTGGCTCTGATGCCACTTTAAGGAGGGAAGACGGAGGCCCAGAGGAGGCAGGTGCTGCTTGGGCTGCAGCGAGGCCAGGCCTGGCCACGGCTCAGAGACAAGCAGGTGACAGATCAGAGCCCGGGACCCAGGACCCCATGTCACACCCCATCTCCAGGGGATACAGCCTCTGAGCCCCCAGTGGGCGGGCAGAGAGAATGGGCCGACTCCCCAGAGTCAGGGGAGCACCCAGGACTGGTGAGCACCCTCCTAGGACTGGTAAGCCCCCCTCAAGCCAGGACAGCCCCCCTCAGGCCAGGACAGTCCCTCCGGACTGGTCAGCACCCCCAGGACTGGTGGGCCCCTCACCTGGGCTGGTGGACCCCCGGCGGCAGCAGGAGGAAGCTGGACGGATGGCTGTCCCTCGGGCACCTGCGGCTGCGGCCCTGCCTGCCCCTCCCCACCCCGTTAGTCACCAGCCTCCCCACCTGCATCTGCAGGCAGGTGACCAGCCTGGAAGCGGGAGCCCTGCGCCAGCCCCACCCCCACCCCCTGAGCTTGCAGACCTGAGCTTGAGACTGAGTCCAGGCCCCTGCCAGTCACCCCCCGCCCCCCACCGAGGCTCTCCCCGGCCGCCTGCGCCCAGGTTGTCCCCTCCACTTGCTGCACAGGGGGTCCCCCCTCTGCCCTCCCTGCTCTGGGACCCAAGCAGGTGGGCCCGCCCCTCCTGGGAGGCGGACATTACCCCCCGACCCCACCCTCCCCCAGTTGGCAGAAGTCCAGGGCTGGGCTGAGGGCAGGTCAGAGTCAGGTGAGTCAGGTGACCAGAAGGGGAGCCAGGGCTCAGCGGGAGCAAAGGCCGGAGGCGGCCCAGCCCCGGTCAGGGGGGCGGGGGCTGCAGCCTCAGCGCCTGCTGGTTGCACAGCTGGAGGGCCCTGGCCGCCCCTCCCCAAACAGCGGCTCCTCCTCCACAGCTTGTCTTGGGGGGCGAGGTCCCAGGGATGGACGGAGCCTGGCTTCTCCCGCTCAGCACAGGCGCTGGTCCCTCCTCTGCGCCCACCTCCCGTCCTCCCCGTCCAAGGTCCAAGGCATTCGGACCCTGAAGAGCGAGGTGAGGGACTTTCGGGCACAGGTCTCCCCTGACCGACTGAGGACACAGACCGCGGGGTCCTGAAGTCAGGCCTCTTTTAACTGCCCCCTCCCCCTTTCCCAGCAGGAGAGAGCCAGTTCTCGCCTCCCTCCCCAGCGACCTCTTGGTTCTTGGGTCCGCGCTCAACCACTGAGCCACACCGGCCCGGCTCTGTCATAAGTTTTGACAAGCTCTTCTGCCCATTTTTTAGTTGGATTTTTAATTGTTTTCAGCTGTTGTGTGACTTCTTTACTCTTGTTGCATGCTGGCCCCGTATCAGACACATGGCTTGCAGTTCCTCTCTCCCATCCTGTAAGCTGCCTTTCGTTCTGCTGGCGGCTTCCTTTCTGGGCAGAAGCTTTTCGTTTGGTGAACTTGTCTGTTGCTGCTTTTGTTACTTTTGCTTTCGGTGTCAGGTTTGAAGGAATCATTGCCAAGTCCGATGTCAAGGAGATTACCGCCTGTATTTTCTTCTAGGGCAGCGGTTCTCAACCTGTGGGTCGCGACCCCTTTGGCGGTCGAACGACCCTTTCACAGGGGTCGCCTAAGACCATC